AATCGTACGGTGTCGAATAATTTGGTGTCGAATAAATCTGTGTCGAATCGAGCGGTGTCGAATCGTACTGTGGTCAATAGAGTATCACCCCCCAGGAACAACGCCGTGGACGTGGTAGTTTTTTGTTCCCTTTGGGGTGCTTTATTTACGTGAGTCACCTTGCCTCTCACTATCGGGGTGCGTTATTTTCGTGAGTCCCCTTGCCTCTCACTATCGGGGTGCTTTATTTAGTTAATTTGTAACTTCAAACAGTTAATTCGCTAAGTAGTACACTTAGCGGATTAACTGTTCGAAATTCCGTCCATTTTCTTGAATGCATAGGTCGATACTATCATGAATATAATGTTAATGATAATCGTGTTATAACCCCACCAAATCCCGTGTACAAAATTTGGTGAAAATCGGTTGACTTTCAGACATTCATAGTTATGCGCAACTAATTCGTATGTAGCTTTTTCGCTAGGTTGCTATGACCATGACTATCATTCTGCAATCATAAAGCAGACGTGAATGCTTAAATAGCAATGTGACGGGACGAAGTCCCGCCACGTGTATATTTGTAAGTGTATATATTTTTACTTTAGTTCTGTTTCATTCTTTCCTTTTCATTAAATAAAATAGATATATAATATGACACACACGCCTACCATAGTTCCGCCAACCCTTCCTATAAAACTCCTGTTCTGACAGACTAACCGATAGTTAAAGGCGCGGAACTATAGAATAAGAGCGCACGTGTACAGGAGAAGACCCTGTGCCGGGACGACACGGCACAGGTGCGTGACACGGCGCGCAAACAAGCGCGTACCGCACGCCGACCCCGGACGGACCGTAGGCCGCTCCGGGGTATAAAAGCCGAGCGATTTCGGCAGTCGAGACCAGTTCCTTTCCCGAGCTCTCGAGGCAGTGTCTCCAAAAGTGATCCTTTCTGAAGTCGAGGCGTAGTCTCGGTGCAGATATCCTGACCGTCCGGTCGAGGCGTAGTCTCGACTTACCTGGTGCCAGAGGCGTAGTCTCGGGCACATCCTGACCGTCCGGTCGAGGCGTAGTCTCGACTTACCTGGTGTCAGAGGCGTAGTCTCGGACACATCCTGACCTTCCGGTTGAGGCGTAGTCTCGACTCACCCTGTGCCAGAGGCGTAGTCTCGGGCACATCCTGACCGTCCGGTCAAGGTGTAGTCTCGACTCACCCTGTGTCAGAGGCGTAGTCTCGGGCACATCCTGACCGTCCGGTTGAGGCGTAGTCTCAACTTACCTGGTGCTTCGGCGCACACCATCTCCGTCGGCTCATCGAGCCGCGGAAACTCAATCGGCCGTTGTAACCGCCACATCGAAACAGTCGTTCTTACGACTCCTTAGTCGTTGTCACGACTCTACCGGCCGTTTTCACGGCCCGGAGCATCTCCCGGATACAAGCGTCCTCCGTGTAAATATTCCCCGTAGGTTAAGTCCCGATTATAAATCCACCGCGCCGAAGTCCGTGCCGTCAGTAATCGTCCGCAAACTATTCCGCGCCGATAAAAATACTATCCGTTTGTACATACCGCGATTGAAATANCGTTCCCGTTACAACCAATGTAAATAACGTTCCCGCTATAATAACGAGAATAAGTTAATCTAACTACCATTCCGTCATATCAAATGTAATAAAACTACGTGAATAAATCACACTACATTTCAGCATTAACCACACGAGTGTCGCAATTTCGTCCCTTCCCCTTCTCCTAAACCCTGGAGCCGACCGATCTGTCCGGCAGGCGGAAGGCCGGGAGAAGCCGATAGAAAATCGGCTCCGTCACAGCAACGATATCTCCGCTTATTTGTATCTATTAAGAGAAATCAATACTTTTAGAATTCAGGTAATTTCTTATCTTTAATATGACAGCCTACCCACCAAACAAAATCGTGGACATGATCAAAATATTGGCGGAATGTAGGAATAATTTTTCGAGAGCTGAACGTCTGTATGCTCAACGTTATCCTGATAGAAGGCATCCAACTAGGGTAACCATGAAAACCCTTACGCAGAGAGCAAGTGATAGGTCTATGGTTCGCCAATCACGACATCATGAATATGATGTTAATGATAATCGTGTTATAACCATTTTAGCGAAAATTTATTTCGATCGTCATATTAGCACTCGTCAAATCAAAAGAGAAATTGGCATACCTCAGCAAACAGTTGCAAGAATATTAAAGGCGAGAAAATTTCATGCATATCACATAACGTTGACACAACATTTGAATTTTAATGATTACTTACTTCGTGTAAATTTTTGTGAATGGGCTCTGCAAATGATCCAACAAGATGAAAACTTTTTCC